TAACCAAAAGTGCCCCCATATCCTATAATACATCATGGCTCCTAAATTGTCTTACATGGGAGAGGACATAAGGTGAGAAATGTCCAGAATGATCTTCTACATTCCTCTAGATTAACAGTTTAGCACATCTAGTATTGCCCATACCCTGTAGATCTGTAGTTGCCACATCCAGAGGCCATGCCATAGGCCAGTGATGTTGGGCAATAATAGAAACATCTGCTCCTGTCTAAAAGTCCTTTAAATACTTTTCCTTCAATGATCAGTTCCATCTTGGGGCGATCCTGCTTGATCTGTTGAATCCAATAAGTATTGGAAGACCTAAAGCCTTCGGATCCTCTTCCCTTATTTATAGATTTTCTAATTTTTGCCATAAGAAGAATAACCAATTGAGTAATACAAGAATCTGGGGTGATTTGAAGTGTTTTGAGTAAACTGAACCTTGATTTCCCCTGTATAGTCAGCATCCATGGCACCTGGCAAGACCTGAAGCCCTTTTAATGTGAGACCGCTATGACCTAGTAGTAGACCCACTTTGCCTTGAGGCAAACGCCCATAGACTCCAGTAGGAGTACTTGAGGTCCCATTTCAGCAGTTAGCATAAAACTGGAGGAAGAACCGAGGCCCAAGCCTCTGATGTCTTCTGTTACTGGCTAGAGGTCAGAAATGTGCTTCATTACAGCAGAGGGTAAGATTGGGGAGAAGTTGAGGAAAGTTCCCCTATTGTTTTGTGGGGCGGAGGCAGGCCCCATTGGAAGTTTTCCAAAATGGGCTAGCCTTCCACATCTATTTTTGACCTATAATCATTTTCCCAATGATATCCTTGTTGACACCTTGTACAATATGAGTGGGTTTTGTGGAAGAGACAGACAACAGCTGGGGTGCCCTGACAGGTGCAGCAGCAGAACAATCTTCAGCAAAATGCCCCTCCCCCCAAGAAAACAAATAGCTTTGTTTTTCCCCCTTTAGGCTGTGGGTTAATGACCTGAGTGATAGCTACTGCCAGTGCAGCTCCCCCACCCTGTACATATTATGGGCCAATATCTGCACAAATCTTAATCATCTCAGATGGTGTAGTTCACTTTCTTTACACCATTTATTTGCATTTTTAAAAGCCAGTTGTTGAACTATTAATTTACTAGTTTTTTTGTCACTTCTAATTCTCTCACTAGTTTGCAATAAGCATGCAGCAAAATCCTGAAATGGTTCCTCCGGGCCCTGATGAATAGAAGTCAAATCTAGGGCTGTCTAACCTTTTGAGAGCAGCTCCCTCCAGGCTCTTGTGGCTACTATTCTAACTTGATCATACACTTGCATACCAAAAGCAAGTGAACTGCCTGCAGTGGCAAAGACACCTTCTCTCATCAACCTATCTTCTGTAATAGCTATGTTCTGAGCAGCATTGCTCATGGCCCGGTCCATGCACAATTCAAAAAAATTTCCTTTTCACAACAAATAATCCCCCAGACTTAAACATGCTTTAGCTATTCCTTTCTGGTTATTTGGGGCCATAACTTGCTGTCCTAGAAGCTTTATAAAATCCAAGGTAAATGGGGCTTTAAGGCCATAGAAGACCCTAAAGCATTTTTTTAAGCATTTTTTAATTTTTTTTTTTTTTTTTTTTTTTTTGTACCAGGGATCAACCTTACGACCTTGTGCTTACCAGGCAAGTGTTTAAGTGTTTAAGCCACTGAGCTATATTCTCAGTGTTTACTTCTTTTAATGACTTAAACAGTACAGTTTCATGATGATGTATAACTTGTCCTGGGTTATTGGGGACTCAAAGTTCTGTAACTGGGTAGATATGCTGAAAACCTTCCATGTACTCACCTGCTCGTCTGGCTTCTTTTAGTGCCAACTGCAAGGGAAAGAAAATGGCTCTACTCCCTGAGAGGTGGCAGTTCCAACTTATGATGCAGGAAGATTTGAGCTGAAAAGGCAGGAATTGCCGCTTGTGGCTCAGCTAAGGTTATCAGGATGGTTGTCATTCCACCATCTTTTCCCTGCTTGGGACTTGATTTTAAAATAGTGCCTGGAGTCAATTCCACTGTGGTTGTCTCAAGAAACTTAAGATTATTAAGACCCTGTCTAATATAAATGCACAAAAAGAATGTAAATAATGGAACCAGGCATACAACAAACAGTTCCTTATACATTTGTGACTCTTTAGCATATGTTTGTCCCATAATTAGACAACTGATATAATCAATATACTTTTTCTTCTTCTTTTCAGGTCAGGGTTTCTCACAAGCCTATTTTTAACTGTGGCCCTAGAGAATAAGGGTTTTTTTCAGTGACCCAATCTTTATACCAATACCAGTACATTCCAGTAATGAATACTGACCTATACCAATTCATTTTTCCTCCTAGTTGTGCACAATGAGAAGTGTCCCTTTGCCCATGATCTCTTACCCTGTCCAAGTTCAGATACATATACCATGACCCATGCGGCTCTTGAGGTTCCTGGGGTGAAGACTATGTGAGGACGAGAAAGAGACAAAGCTGGGGTCAGGTGGAGCCCTTACTGACCCGATAGGGGAAAGGAACTCCTCAGCCACTGTACAGTTCATTTACACACTCAGAAGGATGTCAGTTTCAATCTCTCTGCCTAGCCAACCCATTGGACTGTCTAGGGGCTGGGTGTCTTTCTGAGCCAAAGCAATTTCTTCACTTAACCTACCCCAGGTGTTCTTTGTTCTTGGGATGGCCATACCCCGACCATGCATGTATGGTCAATTTCCAGCTTCAGTGGCTCCCAACAGACAGCTAACCAGTTTTATGGTCCGAATTCCAGACCAGGTACATATGGCTTCCCAGATTGGTACTTATCCTGGGAATCCCTTAACTAGCAGGACCCTATGAGGTTGGTTATCCCGTGTGGTGCTGGCTTGGGTCCCCAGAGCCCTCATACAGCCAGAGGCTTTCTCAATCCCAGTGCAGTCAGCACAGCAGTGCTGAACCCAAGGCTGATGCTGGCCAGCATAGGGTACCTTCATGTTTATCACCAAAAGACAAGAGAAGCAGGTGGACACATGCATCTGTTTAGGTCAAATGGTTTAAAGTATGAGGCATATTTTTTCTTTTTGCAGTACTGGTATTGAGCCCAGGGCCTCACAAAAGCTAGGCAAGTGTGCTGCCACTATACTACATCCCCAGCCCCAAGCCATGTATTTTTATGTGCAGCATATCATTTGTGGCACATGAAACATTTTCTAGAGCCCTGCACAGTTCTCACTCATTGCTTTGGGAACTTGTCCTGTTCCCACTGTGGTCTAAGATGGCTGATGGGACATGAACACACTGAAAGTGCCCTACCTAAAGGCCAGCAGGCCTCTGATGCTGGGTGGCAAATGAGCAGGAAGGTGATGGGGCAGGACTGGGGGCTTTGGCACTGCTTTGCACAAATGACTTCCGTGTCCTCAGCTCAGCATGCCACATAAGCAGCAGATCAGCAAACACCAGAGAGGGTTGGTAATACAGCCCTCCTGGCTTTGTTGCTTGGGGTGAGGAGCTGGCTGGGACTGTGTCCATTCTGGGCCTGGATTTTGGAGGGTCTTACCCAGAGTTGGGTGGCTGACCCTGGACCATGTCCAGGATGTCAGTGCCAACAAGTCTAAGGGGTCATTCATGGAAAGCTGGACACAAATGACCTATTTCTTATCCTATTTTTGAATTAGGTGGGCTTAGGAAACCATACTTGTCACTGTCTTTCTCTCCTACCTGGCCTGGAGGTCTGCTGCCGCTGGCTGTAGATTTCAGCATAACTCTCCTGACTGAGGCCGTTCCTATTCCATCAAAATGGTCCTGGGTTTCAAACTCATGTTTTGTGCACAGGCTCTCCCACTGAAGCTTGTAGGCGAGCCCCACCCCCACCTACTACTTACCTCTCAGCTCCTCTGTGCTTTGCAGCCCTGATGTCAGTTTGTTTTGGTTTGTTTGTGAAACAGGGTTTTCCACTAAGTAAAATTCAGGCTGGCTTCAAACTTACAGCAGTTGTCTCACCCTACCACATGCTGAAATTACATGCATGTGCCACTATGCCCAGCTCATGTAATTCTTTGTCTCTTTCCATCTGACTTTTCCACTAGAAAAGCTTGTTGAGGCAGAGAGCATAACTTATGTTAACATTATAAAGGCCCAGCACCATGGTAAATTGGGGCTGAGGAAATGCCTCATTTAATTTACAGGGAATGAGCTGGGACTACTGGACAGTTTCATGGCTGGAAGTGCTGGAGGCCAAGGTATAGTAGTAAATAGTATGAGTTACACAAACCCTTACACAGATCAAAAATTCAAATATTTGCCATAGAATCTCATGAGGGACTTACATTCTCTAAGTCTCTGTAACCTGCCCTCTAAGGGAGTGGAGCTGAAGGGCTGAGCCCCCAAACAGCCTCTGTGACAGGCCACATCGCTGCCTCACCAGTGCCCCATACAGTGCCACAGCTCATTTTCAGTACTTGCTCTGAAGGTCAGCTACACCATGAACACAAGGATAAGAGGGAAGGGGAGAGCATCTTCATCTTCTGCCCTATCTGCCTGAGTTTCTCCTCAACTCTAAAAAATGTGCAGGCATGAATAGGATACAAGGTGTCAGAAATGTTGCTGGCAGCCAGCTGGACTCCTCTGTGCTATGTATCTGGTCTGTGTATGGATTTCAAGCAGAGTGAGAATGGGCAGATGCTGGTCACAGGCTCCTGTTGAAGTGGTGGTGAGCCTATGGCATGTGCCTCAGCAAGCTGTTTGTCACTGAAAGCTCTAAAAAGTTTACCATCACTGTCCTACAAACAGAGGATGGACACTCCTATTTCCAATCACACTAAACTTGAACACATTCATCATCACTGTTTATCAAATGATCCCTTCAGCCTGACCCACCTTCCTGCCCTCTTTACTGAGGGAAAAGAGAGGTCGGGCACCCACCTCAGCTATTTGGTACCTTCTGGAATTTTCATACTGTTGGTGTCCCAGAAGCTGCCACCTATCTCACAGAAACAGAGCCCTTTTGTTTTGGAAGTCATCAGGGAGAACAATGGTCTTTATTTGAAAAAACAATATTTGTATACAAGAAAGGATGATTGTATATCTGGGTCTCTTGTTCCCTGGCTCAGGGCTGTAAGGTGGAGGTCAGAGCTGGTTGTCCCCTTTGTGCTGCTCCAGCCACTGGTCCAGTGTCTGGGCCTTGGGGTTGAGGCGCAGGGTCAGTTCAATGTTGCGGTCAGGTTTCATGGCATAGAAGCGAAACATGTTAGCTAAGTCGCAGGATCCAGGGAAGTCAAGCTTCTCATAGTCCTCAGGAGTTATCTGGAACCAGAGGGAGCCCAACATGTCTAGCCTCCTCCAGCATTCTGGAAAGGCAGCCAGAAGCAGGGGGGCTTGGTCTCCCCACATCCTTCCCAGAGCCACTGTTGGCCTCTAGATTGGTGACTGCAGTTCTCACTATGAGGTCATTTGAAAACTTTCCAAAAGGGAAAGTTTGTTTTGTTTGTATTTTTTTGAGACAGGGTCTCACTATGTAGTTCATTTTGGCCTTGAACTCACTATGTAGATAGGCTGTCCTCGAACTTGTGATGATTCTCCTGCCTAAGCCTCCCAAATGCAAGGATTACAGGCATCCACCATCACAGCTGGCAAGAAGAGAGTTTGGAAATCACTGCTCTGAAGAACTACCTGATAATGTTAGTCAGTCTAAAAACCGTACTTTCAGTATCATGAGATGAAAAATGTCTTAGTCCCTTCTAAACCAGAAAAATCAAAAGTCAAAAACTATTCTTTGCTCACTCAAATTATGTCTCTTTTGAGGGAGGTGCTTACTGGGGATTCAACTTAGGGCCTTCATACTGAGCTACTTCTCTAGCCCTCCTCCCTTTACATTTTGAGACAGGATATTGCTATGTCACTAAATTGCCCACATGGGACTAGAATTCACGATTCTCCTGCCTCAGCCTCCCAGAGAGCTGGGATTACAGGGGTATACCACTATGTTGAGTTGAACTAAATCCTAACTCTTTGGCTCCTTCACAACCCTTTGGGAGACTAAGGCAGAAGAATCAATCCCAGTATTTGGGAAGCTGAGACAGGAGAATTATAGTGAGTTTGAGGCCAGCCTGGGCTACAGTGAGTTCAAGGCCAGCCTGAACTACACATCGTGACCCTTTCTCAAAAAAAACAAACCATGGGGCTGGAGATTTAGCTCAGCGGCATAAGCGCCTGCCTTGCATGCAGGCAGTCTTGAGTTCGATCCCTGGTACCGATAAAAACGAAAAAGACAAAAAAAAAAAAACAAACCAAAACAAAAAACACTAGGATGCATCTCAGTACAAAGGCCAAATTTAGATTTTTAAAAGATTACCCATGACTTAGCCTAGGTCTTTTTTTTTTTTTTAAAGCAACACATGGCCACTTAGTATGTTTTCTAGGCACTGTGATAAGAAAACTAATGTCAATTACTGAGATGTTAATATACCCATTTTACAAATCAGGAAGTGGAAGTAGGAAGGGGTCAGGGAACAGGCCCAACTTCACACCTTTATGGCGTTTGAAGGACTGGGCTAGAACCAGGATCAGCGTACATGAGCATGACTCCCTATCCAATCCCCTCTTTCTTTCCTACTGTTGCTATTTGGGTCTGGGTAGGGGTTCCGTTCGTGGTTTGTTTCAACCCAGTGTCACCAGTTTTCTTTGTTGTTGTTGTTGTTTTATTTTGAGACAAGGTCTCCCTATGTAGTTCAGGCTTGAACTCACTATGTACCCAAGAATGACCCTGAACTCATGGCAACCCTCTGCCTCAGACTCCTGATTGCTGTAATTATAGATGTATATCACTATGCCAGGCCCCAGACTTTAATGAGTAAGACAACATTAGAAACAAAGCATCCAGGAGTCTGGCCAGAAAACTTAATAGTCATCAGAAAGAAGAAGTGGGGAGGGTGGGCGGCAATGGTACTCTGGCTACCCAGCCACACCAAGAGGAAATGGATCTGGCCTCTGTCTCTCAATATGTACCCTACATAGGGAAGACCCAGTGGACACTACCTTTTCAACTTCCTTGCCTTGGCTCCTACAATCCATTCTTTCTGGAAATTTTCTGTCTCCTTGGTAAAATGCCTAAGCCAAAAATTTCACTCTGGCCATACTAATGTCTCAAGAACAGCACAACATGAATGTTTTTGGGTTTTTTTGTCTTTTTCATTTTTATTGGTACCAAGGATCGAACTCACGACCGCCTGCTTGCAAGGCAGGTGCTTATGCCACTGAGCTAAAATCCCTAGCCCCCTACAACATGAATGTTAACAACGACAGTTAATTTAGATTTACATTGTTCAGAGGGATGGGAAGCTGTGGATACTTCTTTCCTATAACCCCAAAGGACCCTTTGGGAGTTAGAAGCTAGAGGCTAGTCCCTTGTAGCAACTGGGACAACATCCCCTCCCCATCCCCAGAAGAATAAGCCCTCTTGGGCCAGGGATTTACTCAGTGGCATAAGCACCTGCCTGGCAAGCACAAGGTCGTGAGTTCAATCCCCAGTACAAAAAAAAAAAAAAAAAAAAAAAGAATAAACCCACCTTGGTGTGGTGCACAGTCTTGCCGGTATGCCTGGTAAGCAGTGCAGCATATTCCTCTGCAGTATGCCTGCAAGTACTAAGCCCAATGTTCTGCCCCACGTACTCTTCTGGCATCTTCAGCAGGCTGAGCACCACAGGACCCAGGTCACTCACAGCCATGCCATCCATCGGGATATCACCCATGGGCAAGTCTGTGGGGCAGAGAGATATGCTGGCAGACACAGCCTCCTCAAGGTGTTTAGGGCTGTATTCCCAGCAGTGAGTCCACTGGGTACCTAGACACTGACCTATGTGAAGTCAGGAATGGGTGGATCCTGTTATCTTCTTCACCCAAAAAGAGGGGTCACCCAGCTGCTTATTCAGATCATCCAAGGGGCCTGAGAGGATACAGCCTGTTACAGCTTATGTCTAGATGTTACCCCAAAACCTCATGCAGTCATACGTGAGACTTTTCAGTGGTGGCTGGATCTAGAGTGTCTGATGCCAGGATTAAGGATGCGATGTTGGGACTGATTCATGGTTCAATGCCAGGATTAACAGTGCCCCACCAAGTAACTTCGATAGAATATAAGGGACAGAAAGAATGCTATAGTCACTGGCTACTTTGCTGCCTTCTGCCCACCATGAGCTGTTTTTCCTGTGCAATGCTCTTCTACCAAGCCACCCTGCCTTGAAGCCAGCCAATTATAGACCGAAACCTCTAGAAACTATTGCCTGAAATGAACCTTTTCTCTTTTAACTGTGGGTATTGGATATTTTGTCTCATCAATGAAAGAAGACAGCTCCATTCAGGAATATAACGCAAAGTATTCCTGACAACTGCCCTGCATAATATAAAGGGCAGTGTCAGCAGGCTATTCCTAGCATTGGACTTCATGTACAGATGAACAGGACACCCCTGGACTCTGGCAGGATTTTATCCCTCTCAGTGATCTTAAAACAGAGGACAATGAGTAGCCATCAGGCACCAACCTCTCCCACTCTGGCTGCTAATGTGTCCTGTTCTTGTCTACTCCCTGACTGTGCAGGGCACATGTTGGCTGAGGTTTCCTTTCAAATTGGGGCCCATGCATACCCTATGAAGCAGATCCTATGAAGATCCTGAGCAGACCCTATTTTGTGAAATCTATAAAAATCTATCTAAATCTTTTTTTTTAGGGGGAGGAGTTTTGCTGGGGATACAACCCAGGGGCCTTGCACAATTCTACCAACTGAACTATATGCCCAGCCCTCCTTATCTTTGAAGAAAAAGTAACAACCATGTTCCTTTCTCTGTAGCTGTCCAAAGAGCAAAACAACACATCATCACTGCCACAGATTTTCTTATATGGACATAATCAAGGCTCAAGTCTTAGACATGATGTGAGGGAACCAGAGCTTGGGCCCAGAACCACCTGACAAACCTGCTTTTCTTTTCTATTATACTTGTGACTTTACAGGGTGAGAACTCTGCTCACTGTACAGGGGGAAGGACACTCACTCAGCAAGTAGCTCTTTCCATCTGGAGCTTTCTGGGGCAAAAAGTATGAGAGGAGGTTCTCAAAATAGCAAGGCAGCCGCACGCTGGTCATGGGAACACCAATGTCTCGGAAATATTCCTCCACTTCCCCTTTGCCATCAAAGTGGCCAGCTGCCAGCTTCCCAGCCGTCAGCTTTTTGATGTTCTCCAACCCACTGTAGACTATGTAGTGGAGGCCCAGGCGCTTGGCCAGATCAGCTAGCAGCTTTCCCTAGTGGACAGAAATGAGACCATAAGGCTAAGAGGAAGGATATGAGTCTTTATCCATACCATTCACTGATGCTCTAATCCCAGACCTGTAACAAATGTGAGGCTAAAACCCAGGCACCTCTACTGAGGAAAAAACTTGCCCTTCCTGAATGATGTTCATACACCGTACATCTCCTTCAACTCAGAACTATAAGCCTTCTACCAGCAGGCTATGAGGTCACCTTTCTAGAACATTTGCTTATTGTCAACTGCAGCACACCATGTGCACCAAGAAATATGGGCAGGTGTGCTGCCCACAGAGAACCATCTGACACCCATATCCTATTCTTGCTGGCCTGGGTCTTAGCCACAGGGCTCCACCAACTTCCTTGGAGAAGGTGCTGTGGGTTGGCAGTTAAGCACACAGGTTGGATGACCCAGGATGTATGATATAACTATTCTGACCTCATCAGTTAAATGCAAATAATAATAATAATAATAATAATAATATAATATAATAATACCAGGCATGGTAGCATGGGCTTATAATCATAGCTATTACAGAGACTGAGGCATGAGGATCACAAGTTCCAGTCTGGGAAACTTACCAAGCCCTTGTCTCAAAATAAAATTGCACTAGGTATGGTGGTACATGCTTGTCATCCCAGCATCTGGTAGGTTGTGGCAGGAGGATCGTCATAAGTCTGAGGCCAGCTTGAGCTACACAGTGAGTTCAAGCCAGCCTAAACTATATAGCAAGACCCTGTCTACAAACAAACAAATATAAAGAAAAAGAGAAATTAAAGAAAAGGCAGGATGTGCTATTATCCCAGCACTCAGGAATCAGAGAAAGAATTGGCTTGAGTTCAAGGTCAGCTGTGCTATGTAGTTGACTTCAAGGTCAGCCTAAACTGTGTAACAAGACCATCTCAAAAACGAACAAAGGGCTAGGGATACGTCCCACTGGTAGATCATTTGTCTAGCAAACATGAGGCTTTGGATTCAATATCCAGGACTAGAAAGGGAAAAAAAGGACCCAAGCAACCAATATTTGCTTCACTATGTAGGGGGTTAGGATAGTACCTCTAAGATATGTCCATGTCCTCACCCCTGAAAACCTATGACTCTAACCTTATTTGGAGAAAGGGTCTTTGCAGCTGTCATTAAGGATCTTTAGATAAGATTATCCAAGATTAATAAAGTAAGTTCTAAATCCAATGCTAAGTGTTCTTACATGAGACAAAAGAATAAAAGACAAAGGCACAGAAATTGGAGAGAAACAGCCACAAGCCAAGTAATGACTGAAGCCACTAGCACCTAGGAGATGTGAGAAGGGATTCTCTCCCGGAGCCTTTGGAAGGAGTGTGACCTTGGTCACTGCTTGAGTTTTTATCTTCTAGCTTCCAGAACCATGAGAAAATCAGTGTCTATGGATCTTAAACCATCTGGATTATATTCTTTCATTATAGTATCCCTAAAGCAGCTCACAGAGGTTTCTCAGAATGAAAGAGATGAGATCTACTCTAATAAGAGTAGTAGTCTTTGTCCATTCTGTGTGCTATAGTTTGGATGTGGTCTGTCACCTCACAGTTCATGTGCTTAAGAATTTGTCCCCCATCAAAGCCCACAGGGGCATGAAGACGAGTAGAAAGGTCACAGTGCTCAGTCCTCTGTGGCAAGATGGAGCTGTTTTTTTGGTGGTGGTGGTGGTAGTACTAGGGATTAGACCAAGGAGCACTTAGCTGCATCTCCAATTCTTTTATTTTATTTTACTTAAGTCTTTTTGAGACAAGGTTTCACTATGTAGTTCAGGCTGGCCTTGAACTCACTTGGTAGCCCAAACTGGACCTCAAACTATTAGTGATCCTCTTGCTTCAGCCTCCCAAGTCCTGGGATTACAGATGTGCACCACCACACCTGGTTTGCTATTTTGAGACAGGGTCTAAATTGCCCAGGCTAGCTTTGAACTTGTGATCCCCTGCCTCAATCTCCCAAGTAGCTGAGATTATACATATGCTCCTAAAAACTAGCACTCCCAGCATAGCACCTGCCTGGCAAGTACAAGGTTGTGAGTTTGATCCCTGATACAAAAATAAAAAATAAAATAAAACAAACACAACTAGCACTCCCAATCATGGTGCCCCCTCTCAACCTGCTGGGAGCAGCTGAAGCTGGAGATAGATCACACATACCACACTTCCCAGGCTAACCCAAGGCCGGTCCCAAGAACAAAGAGCACCTTCCTATATTTTGTGTTTTTAAAAAAAAGAGCACCTGGGGCAAACCACATGAACAAGCTGCTGCAACCCTGGAAACACCAAGCCCTAAGCAAGGAGTGTCACCTTGACTTTATCTCGCTAAATGTATAAACAAACGCCCATACAGTGGTTGAGCGAATTGCTTTTCTTCCATCACGAGACAGGGTTCAACCTGACCTCCATTTTCCTCTCTATACTTTCCCATCCTCTGCATTGTCCTCCCCTGCCCCCCAACATCTACAGCTGCTGCCAGACACAATACCAACCCCCAAAACTCCCCTCACCTGCTTAACCTCTTGCTCTTGGCTGCAATTCTCCCAGTAGTTGGTCACAATGAAAGCAGCATGAGCTCCAGTCAGGGCCAGTTCCATGCTGGCTTCATCATCCTGGTTTCCCTGCACTACTTCTGCACCTTGTAGTCTCAACTCGTTGGCAGCCTTCTGCCTAGGGTTCCGGGTCACCACTCGAACCCTGAATGTCCCATCTTCCAGGAGTGTGCGGGCTACTGAGCCCCCTTGGGCACCTGCAAGGTGTCAGAAACACAAACAGATCCCACAGTGGGTGAAGCCTGGAAGACACTGGTCCACTACAGCAGGAAATAGTCACGCATGATTCTCATTAAATCAGTTATGTGCCCACTTCAGCAGCAGACATTCTAAACCAGTGATTTATTTTTGTAGTATAAGAAATTGAACTCAGGGCCTCATGATTCTAGGTAAGCAGTATACCACTGAGCTACATTCCCAGCTTCATTAAACCCATTTTTTAAATTTTATTTTTAAAACCACTTTTTAAAACCACATTTTAAAAACCCATTTTTAAAACCACTTTTAAATAATAGCTTTCCTGAAATAAAACTCTTAGTATAGACAGCTGAGGATATAGCTCAGTGGCTCAGTGCCTGCCTGGCTAACACAAGGTCCTGAGTTCAATTTCTGGAACAAAAAAAATCATTTACCTGGCTAGGGTTTAGCTCAGTGGAACAAGTGCCTGCTTAGCAAGTGGCAAGGTCATGAGTTCAATCCCACATACTGAAAAAAAGGTCATTTACCATAATATTTGGGTTAGGGGGGGTAGGTCTTTTTATTTTTATTCTTTTTGATACAGGGTCTTGTTTTGCAGTTCAGGATGGCCTTAAACTCACTTTGTAGCTCCGGCTGATCTCAAACTTGCAATGATCCTTTTGCCTCAGCCTCCCAAGTGCTGGGATTACAGGCATGCACCACCACATACTCAGCTCCCAATGCCATTTTAAAATTTTGATTGTCTTGTTTGGTCCTGAAGTTTTTGAAACTGGGTCTTGGTGTAGCTCAAGTTTGCCTTGAACTTACTGTAGCCCAGGCTGGCCTAGAACTAGAAAAAACTTGTGATGCTCCTGTTTGAGCTACCTAAATCCTGAGGTTACAGGCATGCCCCAGTTCACACTTCACCCTTTCAAAGAATTTTACTTGGGCACAAGGTAATGTGTGCATACCTGTAGTCTCAGCTATTGAGGAGGCTTACACTAAAAGTCACTTGAGTTCAGGAAATTGAGGCCAGATTAACGGATGCACTGAGAACCTGTCTCAAAAAAAAAAAAAAAAAAAAAAAAGAAGAACTGTCAAATTAAAATCAGCCAGGGCCATGGATTTAGCTCAGCAGCATAAGCGCCTGCCTAGCAAGTGTGGGGTTGTGAGTTTGATCTGTGGTACCAAAAAAAAAAAAAAGATTATCAGCCAGCGTAGTGGTGTGTGCCTGTAATTCCAGCATTTAGGAGGCTGAAGCAAAAAGATCACTGCAAGCCGGTCGTGGTGGCTCATGCCTGTAATCCCAGCACTCAGGAGGCTGAGGCAGGAGGATCGTTGTGAATTCGAGACCAGCCTGGGCTACAAAGTGAGCTCAAGACCAGCCTGAACTGCATAGCGAGACCTTGTCTCAAAAAGACAAAAAAAAAAGATCACTCCAAGTTCAAGGTCAGTTTGCACTACACAGCAAGATTAAGATCAGCCTGACTACATAGCAAACAAGTGAATCAATCATCAAATTACATCAAATAATCAGAAAGGCATAGTGGCACAACCCTGTAATCCCAGCACTCTGACAGAATGAGAACTATCATAAACTCCAGCTTATTTTGGACAAATTCTCAATTTAGCAAAACCCTGTCTCTAATTTTTTAAAAAGGCCTGGGAATTGTAGCTCATTCCAAAGGTTCTGTAAACAATTCCCAATACTAGGGAAGGGCGCACCTTGGTAACTGATGGAAGAGGGGTGTAGGAAATTTTAACGTTGGTATCCTCTTCAAATCACCTTGTTGTGAGGTAGAACCCAAGGACCCATGCATGCTAGGCAACGGCTTTACCATGGAGTTAAATCCTCCAACCCTTATTTTGAGTCAGGATCTTACTAAATTATTTAGGTCTGCTTTACATTTAGGGTGCTCCTGCTTCCAACCTCCCAGGTGGCTGGGATTGCCAGGGTGCGCCACCAAGACCATTTACTTATTTTTCAATGCACTAGTAATGTGTGCCCCAGTCGAGCACCGCACCTTCCTGCTTCCGTGGACCCGAGGACCCACAGAATTCAATGCTTGGACTCAGCTGTAAGCCCTGCACTCTCAAGCCTCGCTTACCTGTGGCTCCAAAAACCACCACCAATTTCTTGTCGGCCATGAGGGCCAAAGCCCTACTGGAAAAGTTTCGAGAAGCTGGGCTAGTGAGGCCGCGGAGTTGGAAAGGGGGCAGAGATTTCCTCCAAAACTTAAGGCACTGCGAGCTAACAGAAGGTGGGGAGAAAGTGTTATCTGGAATCTGAGTCTCAAGTCCACCACCACCACCACCACCACCCCAAGACCTGCAACCCTGCTCCCTCCAGGTCCAGTCCCCAGTCCTGGAGGCCCAGGTGAGAAAACCTCGCGGGAACTGGGATCCGAGTCCCGCAGTAGAGTCCACTGGAAGGGGGGACGCGGCACTACGCGCCTGACAGCCCACGCATGCAGCATTAGTTCACCCTGGTTGAACCCTCTCCCGGCCGCACTTGGTCGGAGCCCCTCGCTGCCCAGCCCCTGGACGCCTGCGGGCCCCACAATCAAGCCAGCATGTTTCTGTCCCCCGCCCCTGACATAGATGGTTCATCCCAGCTCGGTGGAGACAGATGTAGCGCGCGAAAAAGGGTTTTCCTCCGGGAGGGAGCCTGGTAGGTCGCAGTGTAAGTCGGTTCCGACCTCAGCGCGTGTGGGTGGGGGTGGGGGGCCCTCGAACCCACTGCCATGTGAAACGAAACAATAAAAAAGTGTGTAGAGGGGAAGTTAGATCTTTACCATGAACATTGGCATTTTTCAGGTATTGGCTGTCACCTATAGACAATTGCATTGAGAGGACTGTTGATGCCGGCACATACAGGAATTTACGAATAGACAAAGCAAAGTAGAAAACTCTGCAGTTTATTTAGATCGAGTTTCCCAAGAAAAGCCAAGGATTTAGCTCAGTGGCTCAAGCGCTTGCCTGGTGAGGGCAAGGTCGTGAGTTCGATCCCCTATACAAAAAAAAAGTTTCCCAAGAAATACCACCTGTCATGGCGAGAGATTTTGACTTTACGAGAACTTAAAAATAAGTCTAGACAGCAAAAATTATCCAGAGAATGTCTGTAAGTCTTTTCCTGGATCTTTAACATCTTGTAGATGTTTGGGGAGCAGCTGCATTGAGTTTAAAATTTTGTATTTATATATGGGGAATGTTGAGACAGGTTCTTGCTTTGTAGTTCAGCTGGCCTTAAATTCACATCAAAAACTTGTTGGTGTCTTAAACCGCCTACCAAGGAGTGTTTAACTGGAGTTCTTTGTTAAAGGTTTTATACAGAATTCAGCGCTTAAGTGTTGTAGCCCATAGGGAATAACACCAATTTTGTCATAAAGGCGTGTTATTGTGGTTGTATAATCCCCACAAAATATTCTTTAAAATATTTCAATTTTATGAGTTTATAATGTTAAACAATGAGCACTTAACAGGCAAAAAAAAGTATTGAATTTTTATTATTGAGTTTATAAAAAAGCATCAAATTTTTCAACTTTTTTGGTGTACAAAGTCTAAAATGTAACAAATTCCTATATGAGCTACAATGAAAATATCAATACAACTCTACAAAAAAAAATCTTTACTTCAATTACCACACCTAGGGCGGTCTTCACACATGACAACAGCACATTCCTATTTGACTAACACTTGCTTACACTGACAGCACATGTTGCTTTCCTGGCATTTTTGTAGGACAAACCTGACATCTTGCTAGCCTAGCTATTTTGGCAGGAGGTTCTTATCATATTATAAAATCTGTAGTTAATAGAAACATGAAATATGAACAAAGTATTAAATTCTTGATATGGATTATGCATTTAGTGTAAACATCAACATTTTCACATCAGCTTGTTACTTGCTTACAGAACCTAAAAGATAACATCAAAAATAAAAACCTACCTGAATTACAATATAAATACAAACAAAAGTCCACCCCAGAAGTAACTACTTGAACTGTCACACCCAAGGCAGTCTTCACCCATGACAACAGCATGTTCCATACACAAGTATCACTTCCACTGGTAGTTTAACTGCAAATAGAAACATTGAAAAGACACCCAGAATTTGGAGGCAGATTTATTTAAGTCAACGGGCATTGATTGGGACCATTCCCAAAATATCAAGCCCTGATCTCTGGTGGTCTGGGGCTTAGATGAGAAACGCAAGCAGGAAGTACTGAGGCAGAATGGCTTGTCAATTGGGGATTGCTTCTTTCTATATGCATCATAGGGACTAGCTATGCATCACAGTGACCAGCTGTTTCTAAGAAACAAAAGGAACTGTAACTAGAACTATTATCAGGGCAACTAACAAACTGAAGTATACTGGCTAGGGAGGGGGCATCTTCTGCTACAATAGTAGGTATGGTTTGTTTTCCTATCCTTTTTTTTTTTGGTATGGGGATCAAACTCATGACCTCGCGCTTGCCAGGCAGGCACTTAAGCCACTGAGCTAAACCTCCATTTCCTATCCTTTCTTATAAGGCACAGTTGACATCTTTTTGTTTTCCTGTTGCTGTAGTAGGTCTTTGAGATGCTGTACCAGTCTGTTCACCTATCAGCTCACCAGTGTGCTCCACAATTTTTTTGTATAGTTTCCTGGGTAGAGACATTTATTTTTTCACTGGTATAAATGATCTCTTACAAGTTCCAGTCTCTCTCTCTTTCTTTCTTTTTTCTTCCTTTTTATTTTTTAATCGGTAGGAGGGATCAAACTCACGAATGCGCACTTGCAAGGCAGGCGCTTATGCCTCTGAGCTAAATCCCCAGCCCCTCTTTCTTTCTTTCTTGGTATTGGTATTTATTGGAGACTGAACTCAGAGTCTTATGCTTGCCAGGCAGGCGCTTGCACTGCTGTGCTAAATCCCAGGCCCTAGTCCAAATCTTGTAAGAAAATTTCTCAATGATATTTTGCAGTTATTTTCCTTGTAAACTATTTATGCCATACCTGTTTAAGATCGAATAAAACAACTATTGGTTCAATGCTTTGTGTTTCAAGTGACATAAATGCTGCATAACTCATCAACATCTCCTCCACCTTTGGTTTTGCTTCCCAGACCAGAGTGTACTTTCATTTTTGCTCTTTTAATCTTTTCCACGTTTGTTTGATCCAAGTTTACTCTACAGAGCCAGTTTCTCCCTTATCCCTTTACTCTTCACTTTTCTTTCTTTTTTTCCCCCCAATTGTTAGATCCCCCTGTCTGAGAGACGGTACGATCATCATGACAACAGTTCAAAACTTTGCCCTGATAATGCATACCTCCTTCTTCCCAGAAGCCTCTATGGCTTCTCCCTCCCAAAAGTCTGTGCCAAAGCTCATGTGTGTAAAGATTTGCCCAATCCCCTGCACTCTCATGAAATAAATCAGCTCATATCAGTCCCCAGAGCCCCACTACCATCAGAGCTTATATCAGGCAGAACCCACCCTTTATCTACTGAGAGCCACCACAGCCTTCTTGTGGTGACTCCCTCTGGGCCCCCATCTTTAAACTCTTCTTACCTAGTTGTCTCCTTTTTTTTTTTTTTTTTGCCATACTGGAGGTCTAACTCACAATATCGTGCTCCCTACGCAGGCACTTATGCCACTGAGCTAAATCCCCAGCCCTTATATTCTGTGCTGCTCGAGATTGAGTACAAACTTTCCATTCAATCACCAATAAAGGTCTTTTATTGTCTCATTAAAATATCACAGATTGGTTTTATAATCCAGAAGCTTGTGTCTGTGGCTGGATAACTGGGGGGATAACTGTTCCCTTTTCAGAAACATAGATAGCATCCAAAACTTTCTGATATCTTTGTTTTAGATTGTTGTGGCTTGCTGAATCAAAGCAGCTGAATTTGAAACAAGTTCAGTGTCATTTCCGTCAAGGATTACTTCATGCTTCTGGGCTTAAGATACTGAGCAAGTAACACCTGCCCTCATAACGAACCCAGCGAATGTATATTTTATCCAAGAAATTCCACTTTTCGACAAGAGACTCACTCTCCTGAATAACAACATTGATGGGGAAATGAGCATACACAGGCTTCATCTTGTAACAGAAGCCCAGATTAACTTCCTTGATCATGTTCTGTACATGACTACAGATTGTGCAAATGGTAAACAGTTCTGTTCTGTTTCCCCACCATTTGTCAACCTGGAGCCTCTTTCTTTCCGAGAAGACTGAGTTCTATATTGATGTGGCTGAAGTCACTCTGCAAGTTTCCTCGGGGACCCTTTACAATATTGTGCATCCTTTCAGAGTGATGTTGACATTTTCTGTAATGTCAACAGCCTGATTACTGAGAATGGTGTTCATTCTTGCAGGAGATGCAACAAAAAGCTACCCCTTTTCAAATGGATTTTGGCACCATTTTGTTTTGTCTCATTCAATTCTTTGTTTGAGGCAAGAAGGACCTGGAATGCATTTAAAGTGAGCCATTTCTAAAGAAACTACCTGTTGACAATCTTGTACAGCTGCTCTGCCTCATGTATTTTTTTTTTTTTTTTCATGCTCTTGAAGCTGGCTTGTCCTTGTTTAATTGAAAATATTCTCGGGGCTGGGGATTTAGCTCGGCGGCATAAGCGCCTGCCTTGCAAGCAGGCAGTCGTGAGTTCGATCCCTGGTACCGATGAAAAAAAAAAAAAAGAAAATATTCTCCTAGGAGCAGAATTACTCCATGCTCTTTGGCTTCCCTGACCTAAGGGCCTGGAAAAAGGTCAGGCATTGCCTGGGGTGAACCCAGTCTCTCTCCCTAGGCTTCCAGCCGGTGTTAGAAGTTGAGAAACTGTGGGTCAGGGAGCAGTATGGCAGCCTGTAGCAGAGCACTTAACTCTTTGAAGCCCCACTCAGCCCACAGTCTAGTGTCAGAAGCAGAGATTCGGCTACTGATTGATGCCATCAGGCATGACTCAGCCTTTTCTAAGGGATTTTTATATCTGACAAAGGACTTGCTGTGAAGCACTTGACGATTACTCAGACTGGTGACATAAGCTAATGATAATAACCTCCACTGCACTATTTTCCTTTTTTTTTCTTTTTGGGTTTTGTTTTTTGAGACAGAGGCTTACTATGTAGTTCAGGCCAGCCTTGAACTCACTTTGTAGCCCAGGCTAGCTTCAAACTCACAGCAATCCTCTTGCCTCAGCTTCCCAAGTGCTGGGATCACAGGCATGTGCTGCCACACCCAGCCTCCTCTGCATTGTTTTATATGTCTGCCACAATCTAAACCCAAATTATCTCACAGCAACTCTTCTCTCAATCAGTTTATTACCATTTTCTTTTTTTTGGTACCAGGAATTGTATTCAGGGCTTTGCGATTGCTAGGCATGTGTTTTAGTACAGAGCTGCG